AAAGTGTTAAGAAAACAAACAAAAAACGTGGAGTTTGCTTTGATGTGGGTAGTTCAGCCTTCTTGCCCAGGCATATGCGTGCATCGAACTTTTTTTTCTTTTGCTTTATGGGATTGTGAAGTATCATTATTATTGATTTGATTGGACTTGACCCATTATTCCTCCACCGTACTCCCTCCTTTTCTCCACTTGCGTCCTACACATGCATACATGCATCTGTGAAGAAACACACACGCGCACACACACAAGCGAAAGAGGAGAAGTGGTGGCTAGTGGGGCCGACTGAAACCGACTATGCCTTTTGTAGCCTCCACAAGCAAGCAACCTACAGCAGTGCTGGGCGCCGTTTCCGGGTTCTTTTTGGGCAAAGATGAGTCCTTAGTGCTTTTGAATCGACTGAACTTGCTTTCGCTCTACAGCGAGACGGATGACTCGCTCGAGCACCTTAGTGACTTTGCGCTGTTTGCGTCTCTGAAGTACATGGAGGCCCTGCCACTGTTCGATTCCAAAGGCTCTGGCAGACATGTAGTTTTCCTGTTTTCTATCAAGCAGGAGGTTGCCATTGTGGCATTTGAGCGCAACGGGGCGGGAACTATTGAAATGGTAACCTTGTTCCACGGCGACGTTGACACTTGCTTTTACCAGGAGCGGCCGGATAAGACATTCTTGTGCTGTTCAGGGGTTTACCAGACACTTCACGATGACCTTCTTCCTGTCGTCACGTTTTCTATTCACAACGGAAGTGTTTTTCTCTTCGACGTCGCCGCTGCCATTGCAGCCTACGGCGGGAAGTGCAAGAATGCATCTCATCTCCTCAACACCCTCTTCTCCCCTGAGTACGCCCAAAATGTGTTGAGAAAGCAGAAGAAGCAAACCCTTTTCACCCAAGGGCACCTCAGCGCCGCGGAGTTGGATGTGCGGAGCATGGCCTTTGGGCCCAACCACAGCGAAAAAAATACAGCTGCTCTCTACCTTCTTTACGCGGATGCTTCCTCAAAGGCGCACGTGTCTGAGTATTCCATTGAGCTTGGTATGAACGCGGGTCAGGGTAGTGCACAAACGAAACCCGCATGGCCGTGGCTACCAGACACCGTGGGCATATCTCCCAGAGGCGATATTTTTACAAGGAGGACCGTGTTTTTGGCAAACGTCGAAACGAATGCATGCCTCCTACACGTGAACGCCGATGGACTGTTTGTACTCGGGCCGCAGTTGATCACGTTTGTTTCTTTGAAGACGGTGGTGACCCCGTCGACGTTGTCTAAACACGTCACTACGCTGGCGTTCCCCCCGTTTAGTGCCTACGTGGAGCCCGTTTGTTGCGCCTCACTTCCCACCCGAGATTTACTTATTTTGTTTTGGGATGGAAGCTGCATTAAAACCAGCGTAAAGGAAGAAGCTGAGAGTTTGAACCCAAGCAAAATAGTGCTGGTGAATTTCACCATGCCTTCGCTGCGCACTATACCAAACTCGCTTGTACTTCTTCCTCGGGGCCACTGCGTCGTAGGCTCCCGCATGACGCATACACTTTGGTTGAAGTGGTTCACCGGGGAACGTGGGGTTTTGCTGGAGAATTGCGGACCAATGTTTGACCTGACTGTGGCGGTCGATGGCCCTCGCATAAGCGTCGTCGCGAGTACCGGTGTGGGCCTTAGTGGCGGCTTAAGTCTCCAACGGTCCGCTGTTAACATCTGTCAGGATGCTTCCATGGTCAACCTTTCAGATGTTACCCGCGTATGTGCTGCAGGAGATGCTATTATTCTCTCTTTCCCTGGGTATAGCCGAGTTTGTCAGTGTCAAACAACGCCAACTGTGATTGTTCAAGAGCTTTCTGAGACGCCGTTTGACAGCGCAAACGAGACTCTGACACTGGTGTATGACCCTGAGCGAGACACATTTGTGCAAGTGACCTCAGTTGGGGTGAACGTTGTGAAGGGCGGTCACGGAGAGTATATATTTCGCAACGATGAAGTGAGCATCCACCACGCACATGCGAATGCCGATTTGGGATTACTTGTGTTTTCAAGCGCACGATTTGTATCCGTCTTGGATGTCACTACACTTCTTCTTAAGGCGTCTATTGAGCTGGAAAATGAGGTGGCATGTCTGGCGATTACGTCCTTGTACAGTTTTGTGGTTGGGGAGTGGAACTCTGGCGCCGTTTGCCTCTACGATGTGCAGGACGGCCATATTGTATTAAAGGGTCGGACGCTCTGCTCTGCAACCCCGTGTTCCGTGTGTGTTCTCTCACAACTTCATACTTCCCGCCTCGTCGTTGGGTTGCTGAATGGATGCATCGCTGAGATTCCTTTGGAGGCAATGTCAATGGGGGGTGCAGCGCAGGAAACACTGATTAGGATGCAGCCGGTGCAACTGTTTAATTTGGAAAGCCATAATGCGGTTCTCTGCCTTGGCGAAGTCCCGCTCATCGCCATTCTCTGCGATACAGGCTTTCAACTCACTGGAGTTGATTTTAATGATGTCGCGGCCTGTGCTGTTATTGACAACCCCCGCATTGCCTCTAAATACATGTTCTTTTCGCGCAGTGAAAAAACCCTTGTGTTTGGAAACATTGTGGATCTAAAAAATTAAATTCCCGTTTTCTTGGATTGAATGCCACTGTGACTCGGGTAAATTACATCGCGTGGTGGAACCTTTTTGTGCTCGCTCTTCGTCGCAACGAAAAGGATCAGGTGCTGCTGTTGATGGGGCATGAGTTGGCGAATGCGTGGGCTCCGCAAAAGGACGCTGTAGCGATTGAGCTACTGGAGAATGAGCGATGCGTTTTTCTGGAGCCTGTAGTTCTTGGGGGCACCAATGAGTCCCCGATAGGGAACGCAACGGAGGGTGATAAGGCACTACTTCTGGGCACCACTTTTGCCTTTCCAGATGAGCCGTTGTCGCGGTCCAGTCGCTTCATATGGTATTCAGTCGAGGAAGGCCAGCTGATCTCCGAGCGCCCCCAGTTGCGGCAACTTGGTAGCAAAGACGTTGAGGGGGCATTGCAGTGCTGTTGCATTGTTCCAAATTATAGTGGTCGAATAGCCCTTGGAATAAATGGCTGCATATCGCTGTATAGTTGGAACGCCGCGGACGCGGTTTTTGTGGCCGAGGAAACAGTTTCCGTCGGCACCATTATCACCCGTCTACAGCCTATATTTCAACAAGAGGCCTCTTACCTAGTGGCGTTTGACGCTCGTCACAGTTGCTTCTTTATCCAGGTGGATGTTATTCAGGGGAGCCTGAAGATTGTCGCTCGTGACACGGAACCGCGAGGAGTCATGGATGGTGTTGTGCTTCAGTCGGGCAAAACCAACGACATGTGCTTTGGCGACGATTACTACAACTTTTATTGCCTCTCTCGTGGTGCCCCGGCGCCGTCCAGTTCTTCAGACGCGGCGTCCGCGACGGCGGCAAGCGGCAAACTGAAGACGACCGCACAATATCACTTGGGGGACATGGTGACGGCGATGCAACTAGGCAGTTTTGCGCCCTGCTGTCTTGAAAATACTGCAGTTCCTGTCCACAATGCCCTCATTCCTGGTATTTGTGGCCCACAAGTTGTGTTTGGGACGTCGCATGGGGCCCTTGGTACGATAACCCCTGTGTCGAACGAAACCTACCTGCTTCTAAAGGCTTTGGAGGTGGCTGTCGCGTCGGCAGTTCCAGCGTTGGGAGGGTTTGAGCACGCTGCGCACCGAGAGGTTCTTCGCGCTGGTCAAGAACGCGGGTATAGTCGGAATGCCTCATTTGAGAATGCAAGCTCTAGCTCACCGGAGGTTTTTAAGCAGCGTCGGAAGCGCTATATCTCCAGGTGTGTTTGTAGTGGAGACTTGGTTGAGTCTTTCTTGAGTCTGCCACAGACCGCTCAACAGCGCATTGTGCGCGAGGCCGATGAGTGCATTATAGGCTTCTTTGCCTCCATGAACTCCACTCTGGAGGAGTTTTTTGAACAATCCGACTTGGACAGGCCGATCGCTGGAGAGCGCAACCTTCACGTGAGCGAGTGCAAGGCCATGGATGGCGTAAATGCCCTCTTCTCTGAAAAGGGTTTGCCAACCCTGCCGCTAACGAGGGAGGCCGTTAAAGATTTGCTTCAAAAGATGCGGCGAATTCACTAAGAGGCACCCGCATGAAGGAGGTCAAAACTCAAAGAAGAAAGAAATAAAAGTGTCAAGAACACTTTTGGTGTTGCTGCAATGGACCAATCAACACGAAGAATTACACCCGTAGTTCACCTTTTTTGGTGTGTCGTTTATGGGTGTCTCCCCCCTCCCCTCTCTCTCTTCCATGTTATTTGTGTTTCTGTTTTCTTACCCCTCTTCGTAAATTTCTCTCCTGCCGTTTTTATGTGCTACTTTTTTGTGTTCTTGTTTGTTTTTGCCGTTGTTGTTTCCGCAAGGTGTCTAGTCATTATGAAGTACCTCGCCGCGTACGCCCTTGTCAACCTTTCCGGGAAGACTCCCTCAAAGGATGCAGTTGCGACTGTCTTGAAGGCTGCCGGCGTGCCCGTTGACTCTTCCCGCATGGATGCACTGTTTGCCGAACTCGAGGGCAAGGATTTTGACGCGGTGTGCGCCGAGGGCAAGGCGAAGCTCGTGGGAGGAGCCGCAGCCTCCGGTGGCGCTCCCG